TCAGAACGTGGAAAGCTCTATAGTCAAGTGTTTTCGTGACCAGAAAATATGGCAGTTGGCAACAAGTAGCAACGAGGTGGATCTGCCTCTCCGCATTATCAGTCCGCAGCACGTGCGAACTCGCATATCTCTATTTGAGACGGCGTGTTCGTCAGTTCAATAGTGAGTTTTTAGTGTAAACTAGTGTGGACAGGAATTCGGGAACATGCAAGCAACAGTGTCCAACTCTCGTCGTCCCCCAGTTGTTCAAATCGTCAAGGATACAACTGATGGGTGGAGAAACGTTTTGAAACAGAATGCAGTAACAGTATCTTCACAATGTCTGCCCTTCGGATCGTATTTAGAATCCCCCCATCAATCAATCCAGCATGAAGAGTACACGCAGGTGCCATATTACAGTACGATATGGGGTGCTCCGTCCAGACATTAGTTAGGATTTTCAAAGCTCAAGATTTACATGTACTGCACCGTTTCCTCTATTGATCAGTGGATTTTCGTGCATGGCACTTAGTTGTGAGAATACAGTAGATGTTTTTGGGAACATTACGGTTGCATTTCGACATCTATCTCGATTCTACCCCATAAATTGTCGTATGTGTTAAAATAATGTAGGTCAGTGTGGCAAAGTAGTGGCAGTATCTCAAGGGTCCATGTCGATGTCACTGCGCGGCCTCGGAGGAGACGCGGTTTCTTTGAAAGAACAGTGCCGAACATTTTCTTGTAATGATAACACCGAAGTTCTCCCCTCAAGGCAGCCACTACTTGCCGACACTGTACAGGGGTGTCCAGCCCCACTCGTTGCTGTGCTGTAATTTGTCACGGCAGAGTCTCTCCCCAGTTACGAGACCACCGCGTTCATCTTTCTCGTGCAGCTTTTGAGGTACTGGTGCTGCGACGCATTGAGGGTGTATCAATGCATTTTGGTATCGCCCTGTAAATTTTTTAGAAATCATGCTACACCTAAAAAAATGTTTAACCTCTAATTTCTGTACACAGAAACTCTCCGTTTAGTTAAATATTGGATTTCTTTCGGCAAGTCCGGCCCAGATCTGGACATTCCACAAAGTCTTTTCCTCTGCTCACCACTGTGGTACCAGTCGAATTGTCTGTGTCTGGGCTCGTTTCTCAAACAAGCCGGTTTCCTGACTGTACGCTATGCCGGTTTCTCCCACCAGCTTCATCTACTTCCCCCTCCAACCCTTGGTCTTGCCCAGCAACAACTAGGTTAGCAGAGAGAGTATGACTGTTATACCACGTTTAGAGAGTAAGTGGCTTCTAGCCACACAATCATGTGCGTCAGAACGAGTAGCATCCTTAGTGACACCCTAGCACAGTCGAGGCTTTCCGCGATGAGAATGACAAACGACGATGCATCTCTACTTGTTCTTAGTGACGAGCAGCAGAACCTAGACTTAGGAACTACTACAACAGCCGAAATGGCGGTCAATAAATCTCACACGGATTCCGATGAACGTCTCCCGCTTACTTCCGCCAAAAACGCCGGCATTGCCTCGCCCCCACGTCCCAGCCAACCAGAACTACGTAGATCCTCTAGCAAACGATCGGCTGCCTCGATGCTAGTAGAAGGTTCGGACGGCCATGGACCAAGAACGGATGGATCAACGCATATCACGCGGAGTGCTAGCAGCGCGCCGAGCAGGAGTCAAGCTGCGGCGGCTGACGTCGGTGCCGCTGCGGCGGCGGAAACGCACAATGCAAGGTGAAGCTCCCCGAGTTTTGCGGCGACACGTGGTGTAAGACAATGATATCGAAAATAAACAAACAAACAAACAAAAAATGAAACATACATGCGTTTTCGCCACTACTATCCATGTGACGGCTCGGCTCAGAGTTCCCGTGAGCTGTTCCTAGGTGTAAAAACCTATCTCCCCCTGTCCCGGATCCGTCCCTACCACAACTTACAGTGCCTCAAGGAAATGTTATACGCCCAATCCGACCCAATGTGACCCGTTGTGCCCTCTAAGTCAAAATGGATTAGATTCTCAGACTTGGTCCTCGCGATAACCTTCTGGGCAGACTCGAGTTGCTTCTCGGAGTTGAGACAACAATGTACTACATTGGGAGAAGGCTCGGCGGGCACTTTCCGCTGTTGTCCAGATCTATCTGTCTATCATGAGCCTCATGATATCCATGATCTGCCTGTCGCGGATCCAGCTGCCTCTCACGGATCGTGCTGCTGCAGACTGACTCACGTTCTGATCGTGTTCTCCCTGGTGAACCGGCATTGTGACCTCGGGAAGTACTTTTGAGGCGCCTCAAAAGTTGCTGCAGACCCACGCGGATCACGTTCTGATCGTGTTCTCCCTGGTGAAGTACTTTTGAGGCGCCTCAAAAGTTGCTGCAGATCGTGTTCTCCATGGTGAACCCGGCATTGTGACCTCGGGAAGTGGCCAACTTGAAGGGATGTGTGCCCAGAATCGCCGAGTCTTTGAGGGATGTGTGTCTTTGAGGGCCATGGTGTCCAGCTGGGAACGGGAGTGAGCTGCGGCGGCGCCATGGTGTCATGCAATGACGCAGCGAGGCATTGCACGCTCCGGCATTTCAAATGCTGCATGCTCTGCTGGCGCATTACTCAATGTCGTCACTTGATGCCGTGTTTGCTGCGGATTTCAACGCTGCATTGCATGCTCTCCTTTCCCTCATCGCTATCCAATGCCGCACACGATGCTCTGCGGCAACGCGTGCATGCCGCCTTGCCAGATGCATGGCGGCTACGCAATGCTGCGCTCTCCCATGGGCACCGCACGTTTCCCATGGCGTCTCTGAACCAGGAGAGTAGTTTTAAGGTTCATCCCTCTGAACCAGGAGAGTAGTTTTGAGGCTCGTCCCTCTGAACCAGGAAAGCAGTTTGGAGGTTCCTCCGACGCAGGAGAGGCAACTACTCCTGGACTGCTCCAAGCTGGACTGCTCCATCGCGATGCTACTACTGGATCATTCCTGCAGCCATCTGTTATGTGTGGTTGACCATAGACCGTTGACCATCGACCCCACTTCCACCCCACCCGCAAGCACCCAACCCCATTCTTCAATCCCCCTGTGCTTCTGATGCAGGAGCTGCAAAGCGTGGTCCAGTCTCCTCGAGTACTGCTGCAGCACGTGTGCGACTCCACTCCACCCCATTCTACTCCCCTCCACCCCTTTCTTCAACCCCTCTGCTCCCGGAGCAGGGAAGGCAAGAAGTGGTCCAAGCTGGTTCTCGTCAAGCACAGCAGCAACACGCGTGTGACTCAAATTCACCCCATTCCACCCCACTCCACCCATTCGTTGACCTCTTTGCGTTCCCGAAGCAGGAGAGGCAAGAAGCGGTCCAAGCTGGTTCTCTTCGAGCATCGGCTGCCTCACGTGACTCCACCTCACCCCACTGTACCCTGTCCCATCCCACGCCACCCTTCTAATCCCTCTTTGCGTTCCCGAAGCAGGAGAGGCAAGAAGCGGTCCAAGCTGGTTCTCTTCGAGCATCGACTGCCTCGCGACGGCTACGTGTGGCTCAAGTACGGGCAGAAGGAGCTGTCAGGCGGGATCTATACGCGGTAAGAGCAGCAACAGCAGTGTTTACATCGTCATGACTCAAGAGTGCTTCTGACCAGTTCCTTCTCATCACCCGCTGCCTCACGACGGCTACGTGTGGCTCAAGAACGGACAGAAGGAGCTGTCTGGCAGCATATACACGCGGTAAGAGCAGATGAAGAGGCAGCCTTTGAGAGCTCCTCCAATGGCCGAATCACACGCGTTAAGAGCAGGAGGAGCCAACAGCAGCGTTTAAAACCCAGGTGACCGAGAGAATGCTTCTGACTAGTTCTTTCTCATCAACGGCTGACCCGCAACGGCCAGTAGGCCACGTGGGCGGGCAGAATGAGCTGCGAGGCGGAATCTACACTTGCTGCTGCTGTCTGGCTTGCTGCGATCTGTTTTGCTGCGGTCTTAGCTGTGGTCTTGCTGCTGCAGTCTGGCTTACTGAAGTCTGGGTTGCTTATTTGGTGATTTCATTTGCACTTGCATCGTTTTAGATGCCTAATAGTGAATGCCACTTCCGGGATATATTTACCTGATGATGCATGCTGATCGGCAGGGTTTAGGGTCTGCTTGCGATGGGGGTGAACAGCCCTTGCTCCCACCTCCCTCTCATCCTTCCTTTCCTTCCCTCCTCTTCCCCTCCCTTACCTCCCCTCCCATCGCCAGGCACTACTTCTGCTGCGCGCAGCGGGACTCATCGCACGAGTGCCAGGCCAAGCGAATCGTTGACTTCAACAAAATCGCCTCTGACGGCCCTCTCGGCCTCTCATACGTGGGGGAAGCACAACCACCCGCCGCTGCTGCACACCGAACCTTTCACCCTCAACCCCTGTTCTTCCTTCCCCCGTGTCTTCCCCCCTGTCTTCTTCTTCACCCCCAACCCCCCCAGGCACTACTTCTGCTGCGCACAGCGGGACTCATCGCACGAGTGCCAGGCCAAGCGAATTGTCGACTTCAACAAAATCGCCTCTGACGGCCCGCTAGGCCTCTCATACGTGGGAGAGCACAACCACCCTCCGCTGCTGCACACCGAACCCTTCACCCTCAACCCCCCACATCCCTCCCATCCCACACAACCCGGCCACCCCACTACTCCTACCACTCCCACCGCCCCGGTTTTTCCAGCCAATCCGACCACTCCCACTGGCAGCAGCGCTCCTGATGGTAACCCTGTTACAACTGGAGGTTCCTGTGAACAGCTTGCTGTAGTGGCGGCATGTGATGTGATGACCAGCCCACCTGCTGTCACTCCCGCTGCTACCGCTGCTGCCGCTGCCACTGCTGCTGCCACTGGAACAACAGCAGCCACTGCTGCTGCTGCTGCGCCTGTGCCCATGGCACCCGTGGTAGGAGGTGCAGGTGAAGGCACGTCTAGATTCAATGCACCTGCGTTGGTGGGACATGGTGGTTTGGGTTCAGGGGCGGACAGTGGCATGTCAGGGGCGAAGGAGCAACCAGTGCAAGGGATGTTGGGCGCGGTTCAGAGGAGTTTTGAGGCGTCTCAGGAGTCGGGCTATGGCATGCCAGTGGAAGGGGGGTATATGCAAGGGATGATGGGAGCAGCAGAGCCGGCATGTGGCCTGTGGGAGCAGAGTGAAATGCAACGGCAGCGTCAGCCCATGGGAGCTCAGGGATTGCAGCAGGAGCAACAGCAGCAGCAGCAGCAGCAGATGAGAGCCCAGGGAATGCAGCAGGAGCATCAGCAGCAGCAACAGGTGTGTTTTCAGTCGCAGCCTAATCAGCTGCAACAGCAGCAGTGGCAGCCGGTGCAGCAACAGCAGCAGCGCTATCAGCTGAATATTCAGCCACAGCAGCAGCAGCAGCAGCAGCAGCAGCAAAGCCAGCTGCTTCAACAAAACCAGAGAAACTACCCAATGCTCCAGCAGCAACAGCATCCCTTTCAGGAACAGCAATCATCCCAACAACACCAGTCATTGCAGCAACAGCAGCCATCGATTCAACGCCAACCGCCGCAGCAGCAGCTCCTCTCCCAACAGCACCAGCCACAGCTGCTGCCCCAACAGCAGCACTTTCCTGAGCCGCAAGTGAAGCAGTTGCAGCAGAACCAGCCGCTGTTGATTCGCTCCCTCCAATCCCTGCAGGTACAGTCACCGCAAGCACAGTTCCCGCAGCAGTGGGAGGTAGGTCAAGGCATGCTGTCCCAATCAATACCACCGCCACAACAGCAGCAGCAGCAGCAGCAGCAGCAGCAGCAGCAGCAGCAGCAGCAGCAGCAGCAGCAGCAGCAGCAGCAGCAGCAGCAGCAGCAGCAGCAGCAGCAGCAGCAGCAGCAGCAGCAGCAGCAGCAGCAGCAGCAGCAGCCTTGGCAGCAGCAGCAGCAGCCTTGGCAGCAGCAGCAGCAGCCTTGGCAGCAGCAGCAACAGCAGCAGCAGCAACAGCAGCCTTGGCAGCAGAATCAACCCTTCTCCACCCTCCCTCGTTCCAGCAGAAGCCCCTCCTACCACGAATCTTCCTATTCAACCGCTCCATGGTCATCCCCTCCCCCACGCACCTCCACTCCCCTCCCGCCTCCTCCTTACTCAAACCCAACCACCCAACTTCCCCTCACCCCTCCGGCAGCAACAGCAGCAGTGCTGCCGGTAAAGCAGGAAGGCAGAAGCAGATGTGGCAGCAGCAGCAACAGCAGCAGCCGGAGCACAAGAGGTGGTGGGTGGTGGCGACGTGAAGAGTGGCGTACTAGGAGAAGCGTCTCTGGTGCAAGAGTTGGCGGGTGGTATACCACCAGGAGCGTCGTTTGAGGCGCCTCAAAAGTCGTCTCTCTTAGGTGCAAGAGTTGGCGGGTGGTATACCACCAGGAGTGTCTCTCCCACAAGGCACGGCTGGTGGTGCTATGCAGGGAGCAGCTTTGGCACAAGGCATGGATGGGGTCCTGGAAGGAGTGAATTTAGCACAAGGGATCATGAGTGGGCTTTCCAACCTTCCTGATCTTCCAAACATTCCTGTGATTCCTGGCTTTACTGGTCTCTCAAACCTTGCTGGAGCTTCCAACCCACAAACGCAACGACCCAATTGCAAGGGCGGCGCTCTACCAACTGAGCTGCCTGGTGTGTCTGGTGTGCCTGGTGTGTCTGGTGTGTCTGGTGTGTCTGGCGTTGTTACCCTTCCTTCAGTTCCTGGCACGTCTGCTGTCGCTGGTGGTGTTGGTGGCGTTTCTAGCGTTCCCAGTGTTCCTTGCGCTCCCAGCATTCCCGGCGTGCCCGGAGTGTCTGTAGACTTGTTGAACCAGCTGTTGAACGAGGAGTGTAGCCTGGGGCCCTCTGAACCGATGCTGCAGGGGGGAGACCTTATGCAGTTGCTCGGTATGCACCTGCTGCAGCAGCAGGGAGCTCATTTGCAGCAGCTGCAGCAGCCGCAGCAGCAGGAAAGGCGGCAGCAGCAGCAGCAGCAGCAGCAGCAGCAGCAGCAGCAGCAGCAGCAGCAGCAGCAGCAGCAGCAGCAGCAGCAGCAGCAGCAGCAGCAGCAGCAGCAGCAGCAGCAGCAGCAGCAGCAGCAGCAGCAGCAGCAGCAGCAGCAGCACAACAATTGCAGCAGCAACAATTGCAGCAACAACAACAGCAGATGCAGCAGCAGAACTGGTATGCGCAGGAGAAAGTGCCCTTGTCGCAAGCAGCGAGCTTACAATTCGAAGTGAAGCAAGAGGAGCAACATGAGCAGCAAGTGCAGAACTCGCCGGCAGTTGGTTGTGAACACCCACTGCAGCAGCAGCAACAAAATTGGCAATATCAGCAGAACCAGCAACAGCAGAATCAGCACCGGCAGAACCATCAGGAGCAGAATCAGCAGCTGCAGAACCAGCAGCGGCAGAGTCAGCAGAACCAGCAACAGCAGCCTCTCCCTTGGACCACGGATACTGGCCAAAACGCTCCATGCTGCACCTGTGACTGTGCACGCGTGCCCCCAGCCTATAATGCCGGGAACAGCATGCCAAACAGTAGCCTTGGAAGCAGCATGAGGAGCAATCCGAGTTGTGTAGGAAATGAGGCCACAACGACAGGTGGTGTGGCGGTTAACGGTGGTTCGGGGTGTCAGTTTCATGGTGTGACTAGTGTGACTGGTGCTTTTGAGTCGGCTCAAAAGCTGACTGATGTAGCTGATGTAGATGGTGTGGCTGGTGTGGCTGGTGTGACTGGTGTAGCTGAAAACGCGACGATCTATATCCATGGGGACAGCAGGAGCGGCTTTTCTGCAATGGTGGAAGAGGCGTGCGGGGGTGAATGGCTGTCGCCTTTGCAGCGGCCGGCAGGGATACAGGTAAAGCAAGAGAATGATGTTAGGAATCAGCGCACGGTGCTGCAGCAGCAGCAGCAGCAGAGCCAGCACCTGCACCAGCACCAACAGCAGCAACAGGAGCAGCAGCAACACCAACACCACCAGCAGCAGCAACAGGAGCAGCAGCAACTCCACCACCACCAGCAGCAGCAACAGGAGCAGCAGCAACACCAACACCACCACCAGCAGCAGCAGAACCAGAACCACCACCAGCAGCAACACCAGAACCAGCAACAACAGCAACACCAGCACCAGCAGCGACAGCAGAACCAGCAACAACAGCAACATCAGTCGCAGCAGCAGCACGGACAACAGCAGCAGCAGAACCAGAACCAGAACCAGCACCAGCAGCAACAGCAGAACCAACAACAGCAGCAACATCAACACCAGCAACAGCATCAGCCGCAGCAGCAGCACCAACAGCCGCAGCTCTTCTCCAATCAGCTGATTGGCATTGCTGAGCACATACCAAGCTCATTCATCGACACACGAAGTGTCCTCGCCATGGTTGCGGGCTCGTACGACCATCCGTCGCCGCTGCTGCATGGGACTGATTCCACTGTGTCTGCACGGCCTGCCAATACAGCCTATCCTGCAGCTACAGGCGCGGCCTATCCTGCAGCAGCATCAGCAGCTGCTGCGTCACCAGCTGAGCTACCAGCAGTAATCTCTGCTGCAGTAACACCAACCCCGTCGTTGTCGCAACTAAGTCAACGTGTGGTGATTGCTGAGGATGCGGGAGGTCTGGAGACGCTTGAAATGGATGGAATGGAGAGGACAGAGGCAGGAGAAGGAGCGGAATCAACTTCTTGAGTTGAAACCTTGCTGTTGGATCTTCTGTTTTCTTCCTCTCCAGTTTTCCCCAGCTTGATGTGGTGAGACTGGAGAGGCGGAAAACAGGAGTAGAAATTCTGCTGGTATAATATTTTCTCTCTCATTTCATTTTGAGGGGCTTTGGAGAGAGGGGGGGAATCTGCAAGGGAAGGGCTTTGCCTAGTGCTAGTATTAGGAATGTATGTTACTATGCTAGTATCCTAACATATATTAGAAGTTCAAATAAATTGTTTTGTACGGTAAATGGAACAAGTAGGATTGGATTGTAAATCGTAGTGGTGAATGGTATGAAGGACGAGGCTCGTTGGTTGCTGCTGTTGCTGGCAGTGTCATTCATGTTGCAAACGGTAATCTTGAAGGGCCTATCCTGTTTCCGAGGTTCACAATTTGAAGGTGAGACGCGATTTCGTACCCACAACACGAATCGTAGCTTCTGCTGACTCTTTGAACTTCAAGACGAACGTAGCTCGTACTTAGTAGCGTACGTGGCTTTTTATGCTTGATTGCGAAAAAGAGATGCGGTTGATGGACACGCTGTCAGGCTTCTGACATGAGTTTCCAGCCAATCCCGTGCTTTCGAGTCACCTATTCGTTGCCATGTGCTGCAGCCATGGCTGCCCTTCATGCCGTGCCAAGACTGCCCATAGCGAACTGATGAAAGCAGTTACTAAAGCAGTAGGTTGTACGTAGCAAGCAGCAGTTTGCAGCTATTGCATTCCTGGAATCTGATGGCTATGGCGGATTCTGCGTGAGGTTAGGTTGTGCGTGCACGCAATCATGCAAGTGCACTAGCGATTCGAATAGTCGTTAGAGTCTCGAATTATCTTGTGAAACTTCTCGTTAGTAAGCCTCCGAGAGTCAAGCGTGTTTGTTATTTTCCGTGATTTGACGGTCTGCTCAAATACTTCATTAGCAAGATCGTCGTACGTGTCGTGTCGTGTCGTGCAGCAGACAAGACTTCCTCCCGTTGGCCTCACTACACACCTCGATGTAGTGTAACGATTCCTTGTCGCTGCGCTTTCCCATTTTCTTGGGACGAATTACCAGGAGCATAAGTCCTACTGTTACTAAAGTTCTGAATCTTTTGGGTTGCGAAAGTCAGCTTTGTATTCCCTGGACGACCCTCTTTTCGTACTAGGGTTCGCCTCTGGTCACCCGCTTCCACGTTCGTTTCACCTTATACCGGTGTCGAAGCTCGTATTATAGAGGACGTAATTTATGCTGTCATAACACAGTAGATATCGATATAATAGATAGGCTTCCCTTTCCATAGTCTTAATATGTTACCCAATTGACCTCGGTTATTGTCATTACGGAAGATCTGTTACGGTTACCTTGTAACGTTGCTGCGGTAACTCGCTAGCACGATGACGGGAGCGATAACGAAGCATCTTAAGAAAGCTCATAACAGGGATAGATCCATCCCGAGCACTCCCCGCCGCGACGCGAGCACCCCGCGCTCCGCTGCCAGCACGCCACGTGTCGGCTCCAGCACGCCACGTGGAACCGCCGATGAGCTCCCCTTATCCCAAACCAATCGCGCGATTGGTCCGTCTTTAGGCCCTTCCCGCTCCTTCCGAGACGGCTCGTCGTTACTCAATGGTCGAGATGCATCCGCAGGACCCGCAACCCCCGGACCGTTCTTAAGCGCGTCGCGATCTATGAACGCGCGGGAAGGGGGGCTGGCCTTCCCCGGACCTTCCCCGCGCCCGCCGATTCCCGGGGGATCTGCGCCAAGCCCTCTGTCCGGCGGCGGGTTCGGCGGAGGGTTCGGCGGAGGGGGAGGCGGCGGAGGGGATATGGCGGAAGCCGTTGAGCTGCGGAAGGAATTGGCGGAGCAGTCGGAGGAGATGGACCGGCTTTTAGCTAAGAACGAAGAGCTGGTAAGTGTGACAGGCAGACAGTAAAATCAATCACACATAACACCGCTTATGATTGGTTGTGACTGTTGCGAGGTCACACGTGTGAAAAAAAGTTAACGAACTCTGTTAGTCACAGAGCTTTTCCGTTTCTGTCCGTTGGTTTCACACGTGAGTGAGGAGTTGGGAAATTTAGGCTCTTTGAAAACAATTGACCTCACGCGGCGTGTGTGTTGGCGAACGCGCGATCAGGGTTACACTTTCGTTTCGTTTGGCATGGCATCGAGTTCGCCAAGATTCTTGCTCTGACCTTATGCCTCTGAAATCTCTGTTGTTGTGGCGTTCCGCGCTCACTTGTGCTCTGTCTCGCATACCGGCCTCTACTTCCCATTTTTTGCTCCTCATTCCATTTTTCTGCTTTGACTTCCATCTTCTGCCGTTCCCTCCCCCTTTCTTCTTCTTCCTCTTCGTCCAATTTCTTCTCTTCCAAGTCACCACGGCCAACCGAGCTCAACCCTTTCTCTCCGTTCTCTTGAAACTGTATTTCCTTGGCTGCTCTGTGCATTGCATCAGGAGGAGCAGCTCCGCGAATCGCGGCGAGAGGCTGCAGAAGCAAGCAGCCGCGCCGCCTCCGCCGCATCTCGCGCTGAAACCCTCCAAGCGAAGCTCGACGCGGCCGCCGCATCTCACTCCGCGTCTCCCGCCGCATCCGACGGCGCGTCCGACGGCGCGTCTGGCGGCGCGTCTGGCGCGGAGTCCCTCCAGAAGAAGCTAGACGAGGCGAACGCGGCGCGGGCGGAGCTGGAGGAGCGATTAATCTCCATTACCTCCGAAAAGGAGGAGCTGGAGAGGCGATTAATCTCCACGAGCGCGAAGCGCGAGGCTCTGGAGGGGAAAGTGGAGGATTTGGAGGGGAGGGGGAAGTACTTAGAGGGGAAAGCGGCAGCCGCGGAAAGAGTAGCTGATGAATTGGCGCGCCAGGTGGAAAGGCTGGAAAGTATGGTGGGGGGAGGCGGAGACGGGGGCGACGGGGGAGGCGGAGGGGGAGGGGGAGGGGGAGGGGGAGGGGGAGGGGGAGGGGAGTGGGAAGAGAAGGTGAGGAGGCTTGAGAGGGAATTGGAGGAGATGGGGAGGGAGAGAGAGGAGGTTGTGAGGGAGAGGGAGGCGATGGGAGGGGAGAGAGCGAAGCTGTTGAGAGAGCGGGAGGAGATGGAGAGGAGGTTGAGGGAGCTCGAGAAAGAGGTGAATGCGAAAGGAGTAGGTGGTGGTGGTGGTGGGGGGAGCGGTGGTGATGATAACGAGGCTAGTGACTCAAAGGAAGGGCGAGGCAGTGGGGAGAAGGCGAATGGGGGGGCGGAGGAGGGTGATGTGACTAAAGCGAGGGAAGAGAAGGAGGAACTGGAGGCAAAACTGGCGGATGCGATTAAAGAGAAAGAGGAGATGGAAGAGAGGATGTTAGCAGCAGAGGCGGAGCGCGATGATTTGATTATAGAGCACGAGGAGTTAGTAGCTACTATGGAAGAGGCTGGCGGGCGGATGCAGGCTTTAATCCGGGAGAAAAAGGAGCTGGAGGCACGGCTGGGAGCGGTGCAGGGCGGTTGGGAGAGCAAGAGCCAGGGGAGACTGCCGTGGGAGGCGGAGGAGGAGGATGGGGAGGAGGCAGGGGGGATGGGGATGGGGATGGGAGGGGGGATGGGGATGGGAGGAGGGAGTGATAGCAGGTACTTAGAGGAGAGGGTTATTGAGCTTGAAGCGACTCTGGCTGAAACGAAGCGGGGGAGGGAGGAGATGGGGAGGCGGTTGGCTGCTGCTGAGGCACTAGTGGAGGATGAGAGAGAGAGGGTGGCGGGAGAAATTCGGTTACTGGATCAAGAATTGGAAAAGGCTATGGGGTTGCTTGGGGAGAAAGAGAGGGAGGTGGAGGGATTGGAAGAGAGAGTGAGGGAGAGAGAGGAGGAGGTGGAGAAGGTGGGGGGGAGGTTGCGGGAGAAGGAGGAGGAGGTGGGGAGGGTGGAGGGGAGGTTGAGGGAGAGAGAGGAGGAGGTGGGGAGGCTGGAGGGGGAGGTGAATGGGTTGGAGGAGAGAGTGAGGGAGTGGGAGGAGAAGGGGAGGGAGAAGGAGAGGGAGTTGGAGGAGATGAGGAGGGAGGCAGAGGAGAGAGTGAGGGAGATGGAGGAGAGAGTGGGAGAGAGTGAGAAGAGGGCGAGGGAACTTGAAGCGAAGCTTTGCGAGCAGCAGGAGAAGGTGCGAGAAGTAGAGTCTGCGGTTGGTGTGCTTAAAACGGAAGTGGCAGAAGCGAGGGGCGAGATTGAACGGCTGGTGATGGAGAAAGAGGAGTTGGAGGGGAGGATGAAGGAGTTGGAAGGGGTTAAAGCGGGTGCAGAGGAGGAGGTGGCCGGGTTGCGGGAGGTTGTGTGCGGTTTGGAGGAGGAAAAGCGGGAACTGGAGGAGGAACGGCGAGAATTGGAAGAAGAGAAACAGAGACTTGAGGAGGAGAAGGGACATATGCTACTGGAGGCGGAACGTATGAAGGAGGAGATTCGGAGAGTGAGGGCGGAGGGGGAAGAGGAAGGGGAGAAGAGGAGGCGGGTGGAGCTCCAGGCGGAAGAGTTGGAGCAACGAAGGATGGAGCTGGGGAGGAGTTTGGAAGAGGAACGGGAGGGGAGGAGGAGAATGGAGGAGGAATTGCGGGGAGAAGTCGAGGGGTTGAGAAGGGCTGTGGAGGAGGGGGAGAGGAGGGATGGGGAGAGAGTCAGTGAGTTGGAAGTGGCTTTGGAGAGGGAGAAGGCAAGTAGGATTGAGGTGGAGGCAGGGAGGGAGGAGGAGAGGGTGAGAAGGGAGGAGATGGAAGGGAGGTGGAGAGAGGAGGAGAGGAGGAGAGAGGAGGTTGAGGGGGAGTTGAGGGAGGTGAGTGTGAGGATGAGGGAGGTGGAGGAGAGAGGGGAGGAGTTGGAGCGAGTGAGAAGGGAGTTGGAGAGGAGGTTGGAGGAGGTTGAGAGGGAGAAGGAGGAGGGGGAGAGGAGGAGGGAGGAAGGGGAGGAGCGGAGGAGGGAGTTAGAGGAGAGACTGAGAGAGATGGAGGGGAGGGTGGAGAAGGCGAGGGCTGAGAGGAGGGAAATGGAGGGGAGGTTGGAAGAGGAGGAGTGTAAGAGAAGGGATTTGGAGGGACGGATAGAAGGTCTAGGGAGGGAGAGAGAGGGGGAGGTGGATTCTAGGGTAGGTGAGTTGGAGCAGGAGAGGAGGGAGCTAGAGGTGAGGGTTAGACAAGCGGAGAGGGAGGTGAGAGAGTTGAGGGAGCATTTGGAGGAGAGGGTGGAAGGGGAGGAGGAGAAGAGGAAGAGAGTTGAGAAGAGGTTGGAGGAGAGTGAGAGGGAGAGGGGGGAGTGGGAGGAGAGAGTGAGGGAGGCGAGGAGGGAGGTGGAGGAGGGGCGGAGGGAGAAGGAGGAGGTGTTGGGGAGGGTGAGAGCATTGGAGGTAGAGGTAAAGCGGAGAGGGATAGAGTGGGGGGAGTTGAGATAGAGCTGAAAGCTGCGAGGGAGAGAGTAAAGGCAGTTGAGTTAGAGTTGAAGGTAGAGAGGGAGAGAGTGAAGGACTTGGCAGATAAGGGCAGGAGCGAGGGCAGTGAAGGAACCACAGCAGTTAGCACCGCAACAGTAGCCACTGATACCCCCAGCAGTAGCAACAGTGGTGGTGGGAGTGACGCCAACGAACCTGACTCTGCAGCCTCGGAGAGGCTCGCCAAAGCTGAGGCTCGGGCGCGGCGCGCCGAGGCTGCCGCCGAGGCTCTCCGGGAGCAGCTGGCGGATCGGGAGGCGATGGAGAAGAGCCGGATCAGGAGAGAGGTTCGGGATAAGGAGACAGCTGTTGCGAAGCTAAGAGGACAGGTGGCACAGGCAGAAGGGAAGTGGAGAAAGGCGGAGGCGAGAGCAAGAGAAGCGGAGGAAGAGGTGGATAGGATTCGAGATGGGTTGATGGGGCGCGCGGGGAGGGGAGCGGGTGCGGGAGGGGGGGAAGGGGGGGGGGGGAGGGGGGAGGTGGGGAGTGGGAGCAATCAGAGGTGGCTCGAGTGTGGGTGAAGTTGAAAGAGGCAGAGGAGAGGGTGAAGGAGGCGGAGGGGAGAATGGCGGAGGAGCAGGAAGCTGCGAGGAAGGCGCTGGATGAGCTGGAGGAAGTTACGTGGAAGGTGAAGGGGGCGGAGGAGGAGGCGCGGAGGGAGAGGGAGAAGCGGGAGAAAATGGCCGAGAGGCTTGCGAAGATGGAAGAGGAATTTTCTGGGAGCTTGGGAGGAGTGGGGGGAACGGGAGGAGCAGGAGGAGGGGGAGGAGCAGGTGCGAAGAATGCGGGAGGAGGTTCAGGTAGCAGTTCAGGGGCGGGAGATGGTGGTGGGGCTGGGGCGTCGGGAGCAGCAGCAGCAGGGGCGGTGCCTGCTGGGTTTGTTCTCTTAGCGGAGTCTGCTATAGAGGAGATGCAGAGGCGGGAGGCAGAGCTGCTGATGCAGGTGGATCAGCAGCGGGTAATGCTGGAAGGCAAGGGGCAGGAGGTTCGGAAGAAGGAGGCGGAGGTTCGGGCGAAGGCTCGGGAAGTGAGTGCGAAGCAGGAGGAGCTGAACGCGCTCAAGGCTAAGAGCCAGGGGCTTTTAGCTAAGGAGCAGGAGGTTAAGCGCGTGATGGATGAGCTTTTATTTAAGAACGAGGAGATTAAGCGGCTGGAGAAGGAGGTGGAAGGGAAGGAAGAGGAGGCGAGGAGGAAAGCCATGGAGCTAATAATGAAATCGGCTGAGGCGAGGGCTAAAGATGAGATAATCGAAGAGAAGGAAAAGGAGCTACAGGAGTTGAGAGAGCAGCTGTACTCAGGAGGGGGCCCGTCCTTCAGAGAAGGAGGGGGGGGGGGAGGTCGTAGCATGCGGTATGGGGGTCCGTCCCCTAGAAGAAGGGCGGATGGTGAAGGGGAGGAGGGGAGACGGGAGGGTGGGTATGGGGAGGACGGGGAGGAGGAGGATACGGTTGAGTCGCTGAGGGAGGAGATTGCGCGGATGGATGGGGAGATGGAGGAGCTTTACCAGGCGTTGATTGAGGCGCGGGAGGAGAAAGAGGCGACGGTTACCGAGTTACTGAAGCAGGTGGTAACCCTGAATGACAGGTTGGCTGCGGCGAAGCGGGAGAAGGACTCGGCGGTTGCCGAGGCTGAGAAGCAGCTTCGGGGCGCCGTGGCTGACGCGGAGGAGCGGGCGGAGAAGGCTCGGAAGGAGGCGGAATCGCTCGCTGTGTTGATAGAGCAGACGGAAGGGGATAAGGTGCATGCGAGGGCAAGTGTAGAGAAAGCGCAGGAGTATTTGCGAGCGCTAGACACGGCTAGAGTGGAGGTGAAGAGGCTGAGATTGGAGAGGGATCTGCTGAATGATCGGGTGAATACACTGGAGGAGCAGGCGAGGGCTGCGGTGAATTCGGGAGGGGCGTTGGGGCGATGGCTCATGCCTAACTGCCTGCTGCAGCGACCGGAGAATGCGAGCAGCAGCGGCATGGGTGATGCTCCTGATACCCCCGGCAGGTGACAGGACGGAGTGACCTGTAAGCTTGGTTTGGTTGTGATGTCCTGATGCTCTAGCCATGGATAATGGTGGATAATGGTGGATAATGGTGGATAATGGTGGATAATGGTGGCAGGCAGCAGGTGGAGAGGGATTTGTTGAATGATCGGGTGAATACGCTAGAGGAGCAGGCGAGAGCGGCAGTGAACACGGGAGGGGCGTTGGGGCGATGGCTCATGCCGAATTGTTTGCTGCAGCGACCGGAGAATGCGAGCAGCAGTGGCATGGGTGATGCCCCTGATACCCCCGGCAGGTGACAGGACAGGACAGCTGACAGGACGGGAAAGCGATGGCCTGTTAGCGTGGTTGTTGGCAACGTTGTGACATTCTGAGGCATCACTGATGATGCTGGCAGCAGAAGGAGAGGGATCTGCTGAATAGGAGGGTGTGTTGTGTTGTTGGGAGGAGTAGGCAATGGAAGGGGTGTTGGGATTGAATGCAGGAGGGGCGTTGGGGCGATGGCTCATGCCTAACTGCCTGCTGCAGCGGCCGGAGAATACGAGTAGTGATATGGGTGATGCTGCTCCTGATACCCCTGGCAGGTGACAGGACGGGGATGGCCTGTAAGCCTCGTCAGCGACGTTATGATGTTCCAGCCACGGTAATGGTGGCAGCAGTTGAGGGGTTTGCAATGTTTGAGTGCACAGGAGGGACCCTGTTTTTTTTGGCAAACGCAGTGGAAGTAGGTATTGTGGAGGGTGATGCACCTGATGGTTCTAGCAGGTGTAGGTTTGACGATATGGTGTGACAGAGGCACTTTGGTTTATGAGCCCTGGTCTGGCCTGTTACAGCAAGAAACCACATTCTTTTTGTAAATTATTTGCTATGGATGTTGCGGTGTAGTGTTGCGACGAAAAGACACGAAACGGAACTGGTACTGTTTTCGAATTTCCGCGAACGCTTATCCAGCGATACCCAAGTTCCCCACTCCGTGAACGCTTATCCAGCGATACTTTCCAGGCGCACCGGGGGTTCAAGAGCGCTCAGAAAGGCGGCGGGAGCGATTCGCGCCTCTTAACGAATCAAATATGATGGCGAGAAATGCGGTACGGTACCCGCAGGATCGCACCTCCTGGCGAAACATGTGCGCTCCCGTCGGAGCATGGCGAGTCATTTCCGCGTCGGCATGTGTGATCCCGTAGAATTTTCTTCCTCAGCTTCTTTCCTCCCACCGTTGCTCATGAGGGGAGCCGCACCGTTTCTCCGTCCCTCCCTCCCCTCCCCACTTCCCCCTCCGCCTCCCCCATATCTCACCCTTCCGCACCTTTTGTCCCCTCCCTCTCCTCCCCACCGCGCGCAAAGGAGACGGTGGTATACGTGGTGGACGCGGGGCCACCCGTCCCACTTCCCCCCGCTTCCCCCCATCCTCCCTCCCTCCCTCCCACACTAACTCCCTCTCCTCCCCACCGCGCGCACAGGAGACGGTGGTATACGTGGTGGATGCAGGGCCATTCGTCCCACTTCCCCCCTCTTCTCCCCGCTCCCTCCCCGCGTCTCCCCCTCCGTCCTCCCCCATTCACCCCCCACACTCCCCCTCCCCCCCCCTCCCACCGCGCGCAAAGGAGACGGTGGTATACGTGGTGAACGCGGGGCCATCCGTCCCACTTTTCCCCCACTCCTCCCCGTCCCCTCCCCTCCCCCCCTTCCCCCCCCTCCCCCCCACCCACATGGGCAGGAGACGGTTGTTTACGTGGTGGACGCAGGGCCATCTGTCCCACCAGGGGTGTTTCAGGAGTGCCGGCTCTGGGTGGAGCAGCAGATGGTGCAGAAGGTGGGGATGGGTGGGAATGGGTGGAGATGGGTTGGTGCAGGTAGTTGAATCGGTACAGTTGGGTGTGGGTAGGTGGTGGGGTGGATGCAGGGCCATCCGTCCAACCAGGGGTGTTTCAGGAGTGCTGGCTCTGGGTGGAGCAGCAGATGGTGCAGAAGGTGGGGATGGGTGGAGATGGGTTGGTGTAGTCGGCTGAATGGGTGCGGTTGGGTGTGGGTGGGTGGTGGGGTGGTTGCGGGTCCATACAACCCACCAGGGGTCTTTCAGGAGTGCCGGCGCTGGGTGGAGCAGCAGATGGTGCAAAAGGTGTGGGTGGGTGGGTGGGTGGGGCTGGGTGTGGTTGGGTGTGGGTGGGTGAGCAGGTGAGGTTGGGTGTGGGTGGGTGAGTGGGTGTGGGGTTATGTGTGGCACGAGTTTGTGCAATCGCAAGTGGGGAGGGAGAGAAAGGGGGGAGAGGAAGGGGGGAGAGTTGCATTTGTGTAAAGAAGCATGTCCTCCCATCCCATCCCATCCCATCCCATCCCATCCCATTCCATCCCATCCCATCCCATCCCATCCCATCCCATCCCATCCCATCCCATCCCATCCCATCCCATCCCATCACATCCCATCCCATCCCATCCCATCCCATTCCATCCCATCCCATCCCATCCCATCTCATCCCATCCCATCCCATCCCATCCCATCCCATCCCATCCCATCCCATCCCATCCCATCCCATCCCATCCCATCCCATCCCATCCCATCCCATCCCATCCCATCTCATCCCATCCTATCTCATCACATCCCATCCCATTGCAACCTATCCCATCACATCCCGTCCCATCCCATCCCACCGCATTCCATCTCATCCCGTCTAAGCCCAACTCATCCCATCTCTTCATTCTTCCCTCCTTGCCCAATTCTCTACCGTCCGCCCTGCATTCTCTCTGCACTTTCCTGGCAGCTTCTCTTCAACCATCGCGACGATGTTGCAGTCGTTGCATTCGGCTGCAAGGGTATGTGATGTGATGGGATGCGATGTAATGGGATGGGATGTGATGGGATGTAATGTGATGCGATGCGATGCGATGCGATGCGATGTGATGTGAGCCTCCTGATAGCAGTGTTTGTTTGTTTATTTGTTTGTTTGTTTGTTCGTTCTTTTTTCTTTGGGTACGAGAACATAGCCGTGGTGCACCTCACCACGCCCTTCTGCCCACTCCCTTCCCACCCTCTCTGCGCCCTTTCACACCTTCTCTCAGAGACGAACAACCCATTAGAGGAAGTGGAGGGGTACGAGAACGTAGCGGTGGTGGTGCCGCACAGGGTGGTGGATCCATCCTCGTTACCCTTTAAGTCTACTCACAAGTCTGTTCTCCTCCTCCCTCTCCTCTTCCCCCTTCTCACAGACACCAACAACCCATTAGAGGTAGTGGAAGGGTACGAGAACATAGCCGTGGTGGTGCCTCACAGGGTGGTGGACCGATTGCCTTCTTTTTTCAACCTCCCTTCCCCCTTCGCGCCCTCTCTCCCCGCAACTACCGCAGAGACAAACAACCCGTTAGAGGAGGTGGAAGGGTATGAGAACATAGCTGTGGTGGTGCCTCACAGGGTGCTGGACCCATCCTCGTTACAAGCTGTGCACGCTATGGAACAAGCAGCAGACCCGGGCATCAGGAGTGACTGTGAGTAAGGGGTGTCAAGGCCCCTGCGTGTGTGAGAGGACGGTTAGTAGTAGTAGTTATAGGTGGGCAATCAAGGAACGACTTAGAACATGTCTGTGAGGGTAGTGAGTGGTGAGGTGAGGAGGCTCTTGAAAGCCTGGGGCCCTCTGGGGCTGAGGGAAGGGCATGAGTGAGGCGCTCCAGAGTGCTGCAATGGCGGCTGCCCGTGTATGATAAGTCGATTTTTGAGTCGACTCATTCTTCGACTTATCACGCATGAGTGACATGCGTCAGAGTGCTGCACCGGCAGCTGCCTTCTCCTCCCGCCCATCACTCACCCACACCACATTCCCAGGGCTCAGCGCGCGTGTGGTGGTTCTAGCCCTGCGCATCCGTGCCAAGAGCCCTCTGTGGCCGACCAAGGGGCGGTACCGATCCTCCCCATTGCTCCGTCTCTCTATACGTATGAGTCCCACCCTGCCCCCACCCACACTCCCAGGGCTCAGCGCGCTTGTGGTGTCCCTGGACCTTACCTTCTCATTTGCGTCAAGGGCCCTCTGGGGCTGAAGGGCTGTTCTCCTGCTTTTCTCCGTCACTCATCTCCTCCTCTCCTCTCCTCCATCCGTCTGTCTGTCACCACCCCACAGGGCTCAGCGCGGTTGTGGTGGCCTTAGACCTGCTCATCCGCGCCAAGGGCCAGCTGGGAATCACAAAGGGCGTGAAGCGCGTCGTGCTGCTGACAGGTGGCGGCACGCCATTGGAGGAGGCAAGCGAAGGCTCCAATGAGGAGCAGGTGAGTGGAAAGAAGGGGAAAGTAAGGGAAGTTTAAGGGGGGATAATTCTGTGGCGCCTCAGAAATCGTCTCAATAAATGTGTGGAAAAAAGGGAAAGGTGAGGGGTTTTTAAGGGGGCAATCACGCTTTCTCCTCTGCTGCCCACTTTGTGCCTGGGTCCGCTTCCTGACTTCTCTTCTCACCCTTCTCTTCTCTTCCATTATCCTCCCAGGTGGCAATGGTAGCAGGGAAAATGCATGAATACGGCACGGCATCACTCTGCACGTTGTGCTGCTCAGACCTCACCCCTCCCTCCCACCACCTCCCCAACATTCTCCTTCTCCATCCCCCATCATTCCCTCCCCTCTTCTCCTCAGGTGGCAACGGTAGCAGGGAAAATGCATGAATACGGCATCACTCTGCACGCTGTGCTGCTCAGACCTCGCCCCTCCCTCCCACCACCTCCCCAACATTCTCCTTCTCCATCCCCCATCATTCCCTCCCCTCTTCTCCTCAGGTGGCAACGGTAGCAGGGAAAATGCATGAATACGGCATCACTCTGCACGCTGTGCTGCTCAGACCTCGCCCCTCCCTCCGACCACCTCCCCAACATTCTCCTTCTCCATCCCCCATCATTCCCTCCCCTCTTCTCCTCAGGTGGCAACGGTAGCAGGGAAAATGCATGAATACGGCATCACTCTGCACGCTGTGCTGCTCAGACCTCGCCCCTCCCTCCCACCACCTCCCCAACATTCTCCTTCTCCATCCCCCATCATTCCCTCCCCTCTTCTCCTCAGGTGGCAACGGTAGCAGGGAAAATGCATGAATACGGCATCACTCTGCATGCTGTGCTGCTCAGACCTCGCCCCTCCCTCCCACCACCTCCCCAACATTCTCCTTCTCCATCCCCCATCATTCCCTCCCCTCTTCTCCTCAGGTGGCAACGGTAGCAGAGAAAATGCAGGAATACGGCATCATTCTGCACGCTGTGCTGCTGAGAGGGAGGGAGGAAGGCGGAGGGGCAGAACCAGGAGCAGCAGTAGAGGGAGACGTGGATTTTGAGAACCCAATAAGACTAAGAGGAGGAACGGCAGAGGTCACTAGTCAAAATGAGAAGCTGCTGAGAAGGTTTTTTTATGCGGGGGCTTGCAGGGACCACGGGGGTCAAAGGGAAGAGCAGGAGAAGGTGAAGGGGGAAGATGATGGGGAGGGTACGGGAAACGGTGCAAACGGGAAGAGAATGGGACAGGTGATGCAAGGGCGGAGGGAGGAGGTGGGGGAGATGAGCAGGAGGAGGAGAGAGGAGTTGGGAGCGGTGGGGTGGTGTGTGGGGGGGAGCTGCGAGTGGTGGCGTCACTGGCAGCAGCGGGCATGCTGTACCGTGTGAAGCCACGTGTGCTGCCCACCACATCGTACCGAGGCGACCTGCTGGTGGCACCTGGGTTTACCATCAAGGTGAGGTGAGGTGTGGAGAGGAGTTGCGAATGGTTGGGTGTCTGGGCATTGTCGTTGGCAGCAGCAGGCATGCTTTATCAGGTGAAGCCGCGAGTGCTGCCCACCACATCGTACCGAGGGGACCTGCTAGTGGCGCCTGGATGTATTATCAAGGTGAGACGCTTTTTGAGGCGCCTCAAAAATCCTGGATGTACCATCAAGGTGAGACGCTTTTTGAGGCGCCTCAAAAATCCTGGATGTACCATCAAGGTGAGACGCCTCAACAGGTGTGGTGGTGACTATTTTTCAACAAGTGACTATCGTTCTTTGCTAAAGCGATCCTTCACGCTGCAGCTCTTCTTCATGACCCATCAAGGTGCGACGCCTCAACAGGTGAGGTGGTGTATGGTGGGAAGCTGGGAGGGAGTGGTGGCATTGTTCTTGGGCGCAAGAGGTGCAAGAGGTGGTATACAAGAAGACCTTCCCCCAGCACCTGCCCTCCCTCAAGCTTCTCTCCTGCCTCGCCCTTCCCTCCGACCCCTCTACTAATCAGAAGGTGGAGTAGGATCAGGAGTGCAGAGCGGTGGAGAGGTGTCAGTTGGCGAGGCGACTTTTGACATACGAGACAAGGGAGGTCCCTTCCTCGTCCCTTCCTATCTTCCCTTTCTCCCCCTCCGCTCCCAGGTCTGGTCCTATAAGAAGACCTTCCCCCAACGCCTTCCTCCCCTCAAGCTCCTCTCCCACCTCGCCCCTCCTTTCGATTCCTCTGCCACTGGGGAGGTGAAGCACGATTGGGAGTACAGAGTGGTGGAGAGTGGTGCCACTCGGAGAGGGTGACTTGTGGCTTACAAGGCAAGGAAGGTCCCTTCCCCATCCCTTCCTATCCTTCCGTTTCTCCCCCTCCACGCCCAGGTCTGGTCATACAAGAAGACCTTCCCCCAACGCCTCCCTCCCCTCAAGCTCCTCTCCCAACTCGCCCCTCCCTCCGACCTCTCCACTTCTGGGGAGGTGGAGCAGGATCAGGAGTGCAGAGCGGTGGAGAGTGGTGGCCGTTGGGGAGGTGAAGTGTGGAAGTCCCTTTCCTCATCTTTCCCCGCCCCTCGAAATCCCGCTCCCAATCACACGCCCAGGTCTGGTCATACAAGAAGACCTTTCCGCAGCGCCTGCCTCCCCTCAAGCTCCTCTCCCAACTCGCCCCTCCCTCCGACCCCTCTGCCACTGGGGACGTGAAGATGGAGAGAGAATACCGAGTGGTGGAGAGCGGTGCAGATGGGCACGGGGAGGGCGGAGGGGGTGGGGGGGATGAAGGAGGGGAAGGGGAGGAAGGGGATGGTGGGGAGAGAGGAGGGGGCGAGGAGCTGGAGACAGTGGGTTTGGATGAGCTTGTGAGGGCGTACAAATATGGACCTCAGGTGGGTCAATGCAAGTCAATGCGAGTCTTGAGTTGACTCACAAGTCATCTTGGGTTAATAACGAGGAGCTGGAGACAGTGGGGTTGGATGAGCTTGTGAGGGCGTACAAATATGGACCTCAGGTGGGTCAATGCAAGTCAATGCGAGTCTTGAGTTGACTCACAAGTCATCTTGGGTTAATAACGAGGAGCTGGAGACAGTGGGGTTGGATGAGCTTGTGAGGGCGTACAAATATGGACCTCAGGTGGGTCAATGCAAGTCAATGCGAGTCTTGAGTTGACTCACAAGTCATCTTGGGTTAATAACGAGGAGCTGGAGACAGTGGGGTTGGATGAGCTTGTGAGGGCGTACAAATATGGACCTCAGGTGGGTCAATGCAAGTCAATGCGAGTCTTGAGTTGACTCACAAGTCATCTTGGGTTAATAACGAGGAGCTGGAGACAGTGGGGTTGGATGAGCTTGTGAGGGCGTACAAATATGGACCTCAGGTGGGTCAATGCAAGTCAATGCGAGTCTTGAGTTGACTCACAAGTCATCTTGGGTTAATAACGAGGAGCTGGAGACAGTGGGGTTGGATGAGCTTGTGAGGGCGTACAAATATGGACCTCAGGTGGGTCAATGCAAGTCAATGCGAGTCTTGAGTTGACTCACAAGTCATCTTGGGTTAATAACGAGGAGCTGGAGACAGTGGGGTTGGATGAGCTTGTGAGGGCGTACAAATATGGACCTCAGGTGGGTCAATGCAAGTCAATGCGAGTCTTGAGTTGACTCACAAGTCATCTTGGGTTAATAACGAGGAGCTGGAGACAGTGGGGTTGGATGAGCTTGTGAGGGCGTACAAATATGGACCTCAGGTGGGTCAATGCAAGTCAATGCGAGTCTTGAGTTGACTCACAAGTCATCTTGGGTTAATAACGAGGAGCTGGAGACAGTGGGGTTGGATGAGCTTGTGAGGGCGTACAAATATGGACCTCAGGTGGGTCAATGCAAGTCAATGCGAGTCTTGAGTTGACTCACAAGTCATCTTGGGTTAATAACGAGGAGCTGGAGACAGTGGGGTTGGATGAGCTTGTGAGGGCGTACAAATATGGACCTCAGGTGGGTCAATGCAAGTCAATGCGAGTCTTGAGTTGACTCACAAGTCATCTTGGGTTAATAACGAGGAGCTGGAGACAGTGGGGTTGGATGAGCTTGTGAGGGCGTACAAATATGGACCTCAGGTGGGTCAATGCAAGTCAATGCGAGTCTTGAGTTGACTCACAAGTCATCTTGGGTTAATAACGAGGAGCTGGAGACAGTGGGGTTGGATGAGCTTGTGAGGGCGTACAAATATGGACCTCAGGTGGGTCAATGCAAGTCAATGCGAGTCTTGAGTTGACTCACAAGTCATCTTGGGTTAATAACGAGGAGCTGGAGACAGTGGGGTTGGATGAGCTTGTGAGGGCGTACAAATATGGACCTCAGGTGGGTCAATGCAAGTCAATGCGAGTCTTGAGTTGACTCACAAGTCATCTTGGGTTAATAACGAGGAGCTGGAGACAGTGGGGTTGGATGAGCTTGTGAGGGCGTACAAGTATGGACCTCAGGTGGGTCAATGCAAGTCAATGCGAGTCTTGAGTTGACTCACAAGTCATCTTGGGTTAATAACGAGGAGCTGGAGACAGTGGGGTTGGATGAGCTTGTGAGGGCGTACAAATATGGACCTCAGGTGGGTCAATGCAAGTCAATGCGAGTCTTGAGTTGACTCACAAGTCATCTTGGGTTAATAACGAGGAGCTGGAGACAGTGGGGTTGGATGAGCTTGTGAGGGCGTACAAATATGGACCTCAGGTGGGTCAATGCAAGTCAATGCGAGTCTTGAGTTGACTCACAAGTCATCTTGGGTTAATAACGAGGAGCTGGAGACAGTGGGGTTGGATGAGCTTGTGAGGGCGTACAAATATGGACCTCAGGTGGGTCAATGCAAGTCAATGCGAGTCTTGAGTTGACTCACAAGTCATCTTGGGTTAATAACGAGGAGCTGGAGACAGTGGGGTTGGATGAGCTTGTGAGGGCGTACAAATATGGACCTCAGGTGGGTCAATGCAAGTCAATGCGAGTCTTGAGTTGACTCACAAGTCATCTTGGGTTAATAACGAGGAGCTGGAGACAGTGGGGTTGGATGAGCTTGTGAGGGCGTACAAGTATGGGCCTCAGGTGGGTGGTGAGTCAGCAGTTAAGCGTGGTGACTTTCATTTGACTCACAAGTCACGTTGGGTTAAATTGGCGAAGAGCTGGAGACAGTGGAATTGGATGAGCTTGTGAGGGCGTACAAATACGGACTTCAGGTGGGTTTCAGAGTCAACTCAGAAGTCACCACGGGTAAAAGGCGAGGAGAAAGGGGGGAGAGAGGAGAGGGAGAGGGCGAGGAGCCGCAGACAGTGGGGTTGGACGAGCTTGTGCAGGTGTACAAGTATGGGCCTCAGGTGGGTGATGAGTCAACTCGACTCAAGTTAGCTTCCTACGAGTTGAGAGTTTCTTGTTCGACTTGAGTTTTTAGAGAGCTTTTTGTTTTGTTCATTCTGTTATTTACGTGTTTTCCTTCAGGTTTAGATCCTTCAGCCTATGAGGCTGGATCATGAGGCTGGATCATTGGGACTTCGGGTTCAAAATGTCGCATCTGGCTCTTAAGTACCATACGTCCTCCCATCAATCAAACCCCCCTACCCCCACGCCCAACACCCCCCCTTCCCCCCCTCCTCCTCACTTCCTTCTCCCCCATCATCACCAGGTCATTCCATTGAGTGAGTATGAACTCATCTGCTGGTGTGACTTTAAAGAGGTAAAAAAAAAAAAACCGAACAAACACACACAAACAAACAAACACAAACAAACAAACACGCCCCCCCCCCCCCCCCCTCCTCACTTCCTCCGCCCCCATCATCACCAGGTCATCCCAGTGAGTGAGTATGACCGCATGGCAAACCGGTTTCACGCAGAAAAGGGGATACAGATAATCGGCTTCACAATGCGAGACCAGATTCCCAGGTGATTGCTCAATACCCAGCAGTGTTTCTCTGTCCATTCTTGATGGCAGAGAAAAGTATGACCGCATGGCAAACCAGGTGGAAAAGGGGATTCAGCTTAACCTCTTATTAAAAGATCAAATATACCTACTCAAGATTTTACGGGCACTATTTTTTTCCTGTCTTCTTGTATCTCATAGTGTGAGGTTCACACATCCCTTTGATTCTCCACCCCAGGCACTGTTTCATCAAGGACACGGTCATCCTCCTCCCCGAGCCTCCCTCCCCTTGTACCAAGAAGAAAGCAAGGTTGATTCACATGTTTTTCTCTTGTGTACGTGTGTGGCAGGCATTACTTCATAAAAGACACGGCCATTCTCCTCCCCGAGCCCAGCAACACCAAGGCCGCTCTCGCCCTCTCAGCCCTCGCGCAGGCCATGGAAGCTTCCGGGAAGGTGGCGATTGTGCGGTTCAAGCTCACCAATCGAGCAGACTCGGGCGTTGCACTGGGCGTGCTGACGCCGTGGTGTAGAGGGAAGCGGGGATTCGCAGAGGAGGAAGATGAAGCTGTGGTGAGTTCAGGCTTGGGAGTGATTAGCCCTAAACTCGGGCGTTGCGCTGGGCGTGCTGACTCCGTGGTGTGGAGGGAGGAGGGGGTTCGCAGAGCAGGAAGAGGATGCTGTGGTAAGTGCATTGCTTTGTGTGCTTGGTGTGAGTGTCGTAATGATGGGATGCGCTGGGCGTGCTGACGCCGTGGTGTGGAGGGACGAGGGAAGTTACGGAAGAAGAGGATGAATGTGTGGTGAGTGCGCGCACGCGTGCTTGGTGTCGGAAGATTGATGCTGGAAGCCAGACTTCACACCCTCGTGGATCTAACCTCATCTTCCCCCACCTCGTCTCTCCCATCCTTTGCCCCTGTCACATGCTCAGCGCGACCTGCTGCTTGCTGTTTTAAAAACATCCTTTCAATAAGGACATACAAAAACCCTTTCTGTTGTGTGCCGCTTCTTCTCCTTCTCCCCTGTCCGCCGTTCCTCCCAAGCAGCCCGACCTATTGCTGTTCAACACCATCCCCTTCAGTGAGGACATTCGGGAGTTCTCCTTCCCATCCCTAAGAGCCGCACATAGACGTTCTTCCATTACTCTGCTGACCTCATCTCCCCTCTCTCTCTCTCCCACTGTGTTCCCCCTACTGTGCAGCCCGATCTGCTGCTGTTCAACACCATCCCCTTCAGTGAGGACATTCGGGAGTTCTCCTTCCCATCCCTAGAGGCCGCGCCGCCCAATCAGCAGCCGACAGCTGTCCAGATCAGCGCAGCAGCAGCGCTGGTGCAGGCGATGTCGCTAGTGCGGTGCAGTGAGGTGGGGGAGGATGATGAGGAGTACAGTAAGGTGGAGGGGATGGAGGTGGGGTTGGAGGAGGATGAGAGGCTGAGACCAGAAGACACACCCAGCCCAGCACTGCAGGTACGTTACCCTCTCTTGCAGTGGGATAGAATCCTGAGAAATTTCGAGAGAACGTAAGGAGGGACGGGCTGGGGGGAGATGCGAAGCTGAGACCAGAAGGCACACCCAGCCCAGCACTGCAGGTAAGTTTCCCTTTCTCTTGCAGTAAAACCCTAAACCCTCTTGCAGTGGAAGAGAGTTCATCTTAGCTCGAGTCCTCCACGCCAAGGCACCCGTACCACCTCTCCCTCGCGTTCTTGCTGTTCAGCCCACCCCCCCCCCCCCCCCCACATCCCAACCTCCCACTCCCACTCCCACCCCTCTACCCTCTTCTCCCCCTCCCCTTGTACTACAATCTCATGCGTGTCCCTCTTCTCCACGCCAGGGTGCCCAACCCACACCGCCTCTGCCTCCCTCTCTTGCTGTTGACCCTTCACTTCACCTCCCACATCCCACCCTCCCACCCACCCTCCCAACCTCCCACTCTCCCACTCTCGATCTCCCACCCATCCCTCCCACCCATCGCAGCACTATTACGACTTCATCCGTGCTCGGGTCTTGCACCCCAAGGCCCGCATACCGCCACTCCCTGCGGCCCTCGCCGCCCCACTCTCCCACCCGCTCTCCACCGACCATCCTGCCGCCCAGGCCTTCGCTGCTGCCTTCCATGCCCTCGCTGTTGACACCGTGGTGAGTTGAGACAGGTAGGCTGGTTGAAGTAGTGCGGGTATTAGGTGATCTTGGCTGATTCTTGAGTTGGCTCAAAAACCGACCTGCTGCCCGGTCCTTTGCTGCTGCCTTCCCTGCCCTTGCTGATCACACCGCGGTGAGCTGATACACGGTGAGTTGAAGTGCAGTGAGTTGAAGCACGGTTAGTCTTGGTGGGCTGGGCTGATTTTTTGTCGACTATAATAACATTCTGCTGCTTAGTCCTTCGCTGCTGCCTTCCCCTCTCTTGCAGATCACACCGCGGTGAGTTGAAGCAGGTTGTTGAAATAGTGTGGGTATTAGGCGGTCCTGTCTTATTCTTGAGTTGGCTCGAAAACCATCCTTTGCTGCCCGGGCCTTCGCTGATTCCTTCCCTGCCCTGGCTGATCACAACGCAGTTAGTTGAAGCAGGTAGGTTGAAGCAGCGTGGGTCTTAGGTGGCCTGGCACAGGTTGTAGCACAGGTTGTAGCACAGGTTGTAGCACAGGTTGTAGCACAAGTTGTAGCACAGGTTGTAGCAGAGGTTGTAGCACAGGTTGTAGCACGCATTCCATATGACATGCTGTAGCACAAGATGTAGTTCTCTGCTGTTCACACCTTTACTCGCTCTCTGACTGGAACCTGCATTCTCCTCTTTGATATCCACCCCTTTCCACTCCCCATTCGTTTTCCAGCCTCTTTCACAGCAGCCTGTGCAGCTGTCCCAGGCAGAGCCTTCAGCAGAGGAGCCTGCACCAGCTGCACCTGCCCCAGGCAGGCCAAATTCTGTTGAAACCAAGGAAGAAGGCAGGGAGACTAGCACTGGGCCTTCGGTTGTAACTAGTGCAGGGTAATGATGGATGTGCAGATGTCTCACGTACAGCCTTCCCCAGAGGAGCCTGCACCAGCTGCACCTGCCCCGGGCAGACTGGATACCTGTGGAACCAAGGATCAGAGCAGAATGATGAGCACTGAACCTTCAGGTGTAACCAGTGCAGGCCCATCTGATGTTACCACTATAGAGAAGTGATTGCTGTATTGATGTGTGCCATATGACGTTGTAACTCGTGCAAAGTATATGTTACATGATAGTGATATTGTACCACAAGTAATACTGTTACAATACTTATTCCTCTGCAGGCTACAAGACAATCAAGCCTACTGTAGTTTAGATTGCGGTATGATTAAGCCTAGGAGAAGAGCTCTGAACCAAACTGCTGCAGCATGTGGGAGAAGGATTTTGACCCGCGAGGCCAGCTGTTGACTCGTGAGGCAAGCTGTTGACTCGCGAGGCAAGCTGTTGACTCGCGAGGCAAGCTGTTGACTCGCAAGACATGAGACGACTTTTGAGGCGCCTCAGAAAGGGCAACGCGCTGCTGCTACAGAATCCAATTTGAAGACGAGGGTATGTTAGAAGATGACGGAGCCTGGGAGGAAGAGCTCTGACTCAAGCTGCTGCAGCATGTGGCAGATGGCTTTTGATTTGAGGCGCTTCGAAAGAGGAACGGTAATTGGTTGTGACAGAAGTTGTTGTAAGTCTTGAGTAACAGGGCAGACTAGAAGATGACGGAGCCTGGGAGGAAGAGCTCTGACTCAAGCTGCTGCAGCATGTGACAGATGGCGTTGCACACTGCGATTGCTGGCTTCTGAGAATCACAGGAATGGTGGGTTGAGTGAAGGAATGTAGAGAGCAGAGGAGGAAGCGGATGAGCATTATTAGGAGGAAGACGAAAGCCCCGACTCAAGCTGATGCAGCATGTGGCAGATAGCGTCGCACACCGCAATGGCCGGCTTCTGAACACACAGGGGAAAAACGGGAGGGAGGGATGGGAGTAGAGAGGAGCATGACAGGAAGAGACTGAGAAGTGGCAGTGGGGGCTGAGAGCTCTGACTCAAGCTGCTGCACTGCTGCATGTGGCAGATGGCGTTGCACACTGCGATTGCCGGCTTCTGGGTGGGAGAGAAGACAGGAGAGGGTAGATAGCGCATGGCAGCAAGCCAATGAAAACGATTATGGAGGGAAGTGAGCACCCAGTCTGGCCACACAGTGATGGACGCACATAGAAATGGGAGAACGGGACGATGGGAGAGTGTAGAGAGAGCATGAATGGAAGCGAGTGAGACGAGATGCAGGAGCGGGGAATGTGCAGGGCAGGGAGCATGTTAGGAGCATGATAGGAGCAAGATAGGAGCATGATAGGAGCATGATAGGAGCATGATAGGAGCATGATAGGAGCATGATAGGAGCATGATAGGAGCATGATAGGAGCATGATAGGAGCATGATAGGAGCATGATAGGAGCATGATAGGAGCATGATAGGAGCATGATAGGAGCATGATAGGAGCATGATAGGAGCATGATAGGAGCATGATAGGAGCATGATAGGAGCATGATAGGAGCATGATAGGAGCATTTGAGAGGGAGCACACTAGGAAGAAGACGAGAGCAGCTAGTTGATCAGCATAGTCTGCCAGCAACACATAATGCCTCCAACCTCACCTTGGTTGCGAGAGGGTCGAATGCAGCCATGATCTCAAAGTCAGGCGTTCGCCAGGAGAGCAGCACTTCAGGGGATGGGGGGAGAGTAGAATGGGAAGACAAGAGTGAGAAGAGAAGAGAGGGAAGAGCAACAGAACAACTTGGCTCGGAGGGTCGAATCCAGCCATGATCTCAAAATCAGGCGTTCGCCAGGAGAGCAGCACTGCAAGAGAGAGAAGGGCGACGTGGGGAGAGTAGAAAGGGAAGACAAGTGAGGGAAGGGCAACGACAAATGCAAAGATCAAAAGCAGCCATTAAAAGACATTCATGAAAGGAAACGAAGGAGCAAGGGATGAAGGGGGGAAGGTTAGCCGAGGTATGTCTCACCAAAGTCCTTGGTTCGTCTGTACTGCGTCTTGATGCCGCCCGGCACGGGGCAGCTGCCGCCCGTTTCCATTTCAGCCAGCAATGACGATGCTGACGTGGACGACGAGGATGCTGAGGAGGCTGCTGACGTGGCGCTGCCAGTAGTGTGCGCAACAGTGACGGGGGTCTGAGCTGTCATGGATGAGTGCATGGTTTGATAGGCCCGCAAGAGACTGCTTTTTCGGGCGGAGAGTGGGAGAGAAGCGGGGGGGAGGGGGAGGGGTGATTGGGATGCAAACAGGGGGGCGCAATGGGGGGAAAAGGGGAAACTAGTGAAGAGAGGCTTGAGCTGTCATGGAAGAGAGCATAGTTTGATATGCCCGTAACGGACTGCTTTCTGAGGAGGGGAAGAGCGAGAGCGGGGGGGTGAAGCAATGGAGGAGGTGAGCTACCCACCCACCCACTCACCCACCCACAAACCCACTTACCCACTCAACACCCGCCCACGCACCCACCCTCTCAGTGTCCCTTCCCCCAACCACTCACGTCTTCTGCTGCCGCCTGTCACTGAGAGCTAAAGGGAATTCCGCCATGACAAACTGGCGCAGAGGCACGCTGCGGAACACAAAGTGCAGCAGCCCCTGCGGGCCCCACATGGGCGCTGCTTGCGCTAGCGCCTGTGCTGCTGTCTGTGCTGCTGTATGTGATGCTGTCTGTGCTGCTGTATGTGATGCTGTCTGTGCTGCTGTATGTGATGCTGTCTGTGCTGCTGTCTGTGCTGCTGTCTGTGCTGCTGTCTGTGCTGCTGTCTGTGCTGCTGTCTGTGCTGCTGTCTGTGCTGCTGTCTGTGCTGCTGTCTGTGCTGCTGTCTGTGCTGCTGTCTGTGCTGCTGTCTGTGCTGCTGTCTGTGCTGCTGTCTGTGCTGCTGTCTGTGCTGCTGTCTGTGCTGCTGTCTGTGCTGCTGTCTGTGCTGCTGTCTGTGCTGCTGTCTGTGCTGCTGTCTGTGCTGCTGTCTGTGCTGCTGTCTGTGCTGCTGTCTGTGCTGCTGTCTGTGCTGCTGTCTGTGCTGCTGTCTGTGCTGCTGTCTGTGCTGCTGTCTGTGCTGCTGTCTGTGCTGCTGTCTGTGCTGCTGTCTGTGCTGCTGTCTGTGCTGCTGTCTGTGCTGCTGTCTGTGCTGCTGTCTGTGCTGCTGTCTGTGCTGCTGTCTGTGCTGCTGTCTGTGCTGCTGTCTGTGCTGCTGTCTGTGCTGCTGTCTGTGCTGCTGTCTGTGCTGCTGTCTGTGCTGCTGTCTGTGCTGCTGTCTGTGCTGCTGTCTGTGCTGCTGTCTGTGCTGCTGTCTGTGCTGCTGTCTGTGCTGCTGTCTGTGCTGCTGTCTGTGCTGCTGTCTGTGCTGCTGTCTGTGCTGCTGTCTGTGCTGCTGTCTGTGCTGCTGTCTGTGCTGCTGTCTGTGCTGCTGTCTGTGCTGCTGTCTGTGCTGCTGTCTGTGCTGCTGTCTGTGCTGCTGTCTGTGCTGCTGTCTGTGCTGCTGTCTGTGCTGCTGTCTGTGCTGCTGTCTGTGCTGCTGTCTGTGCTGCTGTCTGTGCTGCTGTCTGTGCTGCTGTCTGTGCTGCTGTCTGTGCTGCTGTCTGTGCTGCTGTCTGTGCTGCTGTCTGTGCTGCTGTCTGTGCTGCTGTCTGTGCTGCTGTCTGTGCTGCTGTCTGTGCTGCTGTCTGTGCTGCTGTCTGTGCTGCTGTCTGTGCTGCTGTCTGTGCTGCTGTCTGTGCTGCTGTCTGTGCTGCTGTCTGTGCTGCTGTCTGTGCTGCTGTCTGTGCTGCTGTCTGTGCTGCTGTCTGTGCTGCTGTCTGTGCTGCTGTCTGTGCTGCTGTCTGTGCTGCTGTCTGTGCTGCTGTCTGTGCTGCTGTCTGTGCTGCTGTCTGTGCTGCTGTCTGTGCTGCTGTCTGTGCTGCTGTCTGTGCTGCTGTCTGTGCTGCTGTCTGTGCTGCTGTCTGTGCTGCTGTCTGTGCTGCTGTCTGTGCTGCTGTCTGTGCTGCTGTCTGTGCTGCTGTCTGTGCTGCTGTCTGTGCTGCTGTCTGTGCTGCTGTCTGTGCTGCTGTCTGTGCTGCTGTCTGTGCTACCCGTGTGGGCGTCTGTGAGTGTGTCTGTGCCGGCAGTTGAGGGGGTATCTGAGTGGGAATGGCGAGAGGAGGAGGAGGGAGGGACTGGTTGGGAGGGGTAGAGGACGGTTCGAGAGGAACAGACACTGGCACATCTGTCTCTGGCGAATCGGTTTTGTGTTGGCCCAACCCTGTGCCTGTACCCATGCCCACGCCCACAGTCATGCCCCCTCCCAATACACTTCTCAACTTTTCCAGTGCCAATATTGCTCCATCCTCCTCCTCTTCATCCTCCTCTCCTCCCTCCTCTCCTTCCTCCTCCCCTTTTCCTCCCACTGCGTCTTCTCCTTCCCTTTCACCTTCCCTCTCCCCCACACCACCAAACACCCCCCGACCCTCTGATTGGTCGAACGCTCCCGAGTAATCATCATCCTCGTCAGCACCGTCTTCTGATTGGCCCATGGGGATAATATCACACCCCATGCCCGGACCTAGCCCATACGGGTCAGGAAAGGGCAAGCCGGGGGGTTGGGGGGAGGGGAGCAGGGCGGGGGAGCGGAAGGGGGAGGAGGAGCGACGGGAGGAGGGGGAGGGGGAGCGACGGCGGGTAGGGGAGGAGGAGCGGAGAGGGGGGGAGGAGGAGCGGAGAGCGGGGGAGGAGGGGCGTTGGGGAATGGAGGAGGAGGGTTTTGTGGCTGTGGTGGTGCTTGGAGGGTTGGTGGCGGTGGCAGTGGTGGCAGTGGTGGTGATGCGAGAAGGGGTGGTGAAGCGAGGTGAGGAGGGAGGAAAGGGAGAGTGCCTAGCGTTGTTGCTGCTACTACTGCTACTAGTAGTAGTGGCACTGGTGGTGGGCCGAGCGCTCTTATTGGCTGCAGCGGCGATGGAGTCGATGTGTGATTGGACGAGATGAACAGTGACGCCGCGAGACGGGGAGGAAGCTGCAGAGGAAATTTCTTGAAAGATGTTGCACTGTAGCAGCGTGCGTTCCATTGCTACCCTGCAGGAGGAATGAAGGATTTGGTGGGGCGAGAAATCACTAAATGCACATTTAGTGATGTGCACTAGAGGAACAAAATGAGAGTGCCCAGAGCCCACAGCACAGCAGCACAGAAACTGGTCTCTCCTCACCTCACTTTACATATGCATATATGTTTAAATAACCTCATGGCACCTCATGAATCTCACCTCACGTCCTTGAGTGCGTGGAAGCTGTTGGGATCAGCGGAGAGCAGCAGCAACAGCCCCGTGTCTCCCCGCGACTGGTGGTGGTCGTACACTGGCGCCCTGCTGCTGCCATTTCTGCTTCTTCTCCGCACCAACAACACCGCCATTCACACCGGGCTGCACCGCACCTCACAGCAGCATCTCACCTCACGTCTTTGAGAGCATGGAAGCTGTTGGGATCAGCGGAGAGCAGCAGCAGCCCCATGCTGCTTCCCTTGACACCTCTACTCACCGTGCTGCACCGCACCGTAACTCGCCTCACCTCACATCCTTGAGTGCGTGGAAGCTGTTGGGATCAGCAGAGAGCAGCAGCAACCCCGTGTCTCCCCGCGACTGGTGGTGGTCGTACACTGGCGCCCTGCTGCTGCCATTGCTGCCAACACCAGCGTTAGCAGTAGCAGCAGCGTCGCCACCAGCAGTGTCGCCAGCAGCAGCGTCGCCAGCAGCAGCAGCAGCAATTGGTTTTGACTGGGAAGCGTTTGACTGAGAGACGCTTGGTTGGCGGATGGAATGGGAGTGGATGGTGCGAGGGGTGGGTGGCAGCGGCTGGTCTGCCGCCCAGTAGTGCACATAGGCATAGAGGAAGGCGGCTGGGTTGTAGTGAGGCAGGCAGACGGGGGTGAAGGACTCGGGTGAAGTTCTGTGTGGGTTGGAGATGAGAGAGGGAAAAATAGGAACGTATAGGGGGTTGAATCACGAGTTTACAGCAGTGGCTGGTCTGCCGCCCAGTAGTGCACATAGGCATAAAGGAAGGCGGCTGGGTTGTAGTGGGGCAGGCACACTGGCGTGAAGGACTCGGGTGATGTTCTGGGGGGTTTGGTGGGAGGAGAAGCACGGGGGATTGTGGGAGGGAGCGAGGGAGGGGGGAAGGGTGGGGGAGAGAGAGACCAGCCGCTGAAGGAGGGAAACTACGCCAAACCGGAAGAAATCGAACGCATTGGGGATGCCGAGGAAAAGAAGGACATAATCAGAATGGCTCTCTGTTCGACACTCTGACTGTGGGATGTTCCTGTGCGCCACTGTGACCACCTCAAAGCCCGAGAAAACCAGCGCGAAGAGCGCAGGGGAGGCGGCAGCAAGAAGAGCACGGGCATGGCAGGAGGGAACTCAAGTCCAGTTTAAGTCTTACCGAAAGGAATCTGAGGCGTTGAGGAAGTTGAGTAGAAGGAAAATATCATCCGAGTGAAGAGGCTCTCGCTTCCTGTGCGCCACTGTGACCACCTCAAAGCCCGAGAAGACCAGCGCGAAGAGCGCAGGGGAGGGAGGCAACAACTTACATGGAGACCTACGGCTTACCGGAATGAATCTGAAGCGTTGAGGAAGTTGAGGAGAAGGAAGATGTCATCAGAGTGCAGAGGTTCCCTCTTCCTGTGCGCCACTGTGACCACCTCAAAGCCCGAAAAGACCAGCGCGAAGAGCGCAGGGGATGCAGCAGCAGCGGTCTTGATCGCGCCGCTCACTGTGGTGCGCACCCATGCTGGTATGCGGAGACAGCGCATGGAAGAGAGGTAGCTGGCTGGGTCCCTGGGATTGGAATGGGGAGGGCAATGGGTGCAGACAGACACATGCAGCAGCAGCAGGGACAAGAGCAACAGGCCTTGATCGCACCGCTCACTGTTGTTCGCACCCATGCTGGTATGCGGAGACACCGCATGGAGGAGAGGTAGCTGGCTGGGTCCCTGGGTGTGGAATGGGGAGGGAGGGCAATGGGGTAAATGAAAGAACGCAGCAGCAGCAGCACCATCACCACCAGCAGCGGCATCAGAAGCAGCAGCGGTCTTGATCGCGCCGCTCACTGTGGTTCGCACCCATGCTGGTATGCGCAGGCATCGCATGGATGAAAGGTAGCTGTCTGGATCCCTGGCATGGGATGGGGACGATAGGAAATGTATGGAAGCATGATACACCAGCGCCAGCAGCACCAGCAGGAGCAAGATAAGCAACAACAGGCAGTCTTGATTGTGCCGCTCGCAGTGGTTCGCACCCATGCTGGTATGCGCAGACAGCGCATGGAATGGAGGAGCGGTAGCTGGCTGGATCCCTGTGAATGGGATGGATGGGGGGTGGGGAGCCAAAGCGACAGAAAGGCATAACGCAGCTACTGCAGTCCTGATGGGTCCACTCACAGGGGGAGTATGGAGCGACACCAGGCTTGCACTTACCAAGTGTGATAAGTCGAGTTTTGAGTCGACTCAAAACTCGACCTATCACTCACAGGGGGAGTATGGAGCGACACCAGGCTTGCACTTACCAAGTGTGATAAGTCGAGTTTTGAGTCGACTCAAAACTCGACCTATCACTCACAGGGGGAGTATGGAGCGACACCAGGCTTGCACTTACCAAGTGTGATAAGTCGAGTTTTGAGTCGACTCAAAACTCGACCTATCACTCACAGGGGGAGTATGGAGCGACACCAGGCTTGCACTTACCAAGTGTGATAAGTCGTGTTTTGAGTCGACTGAAAACTCGACCTATCACTCACAGGGGGAGTATGGAGCGACACCAGGCTTGCACTTACCAGGCTTGTGTGGGGTTGTAAAAGAGGTAGCTGGCTGGCTACATGGGAAGGCTCACCAGGAGAAGGAGTGGATGAGAGCGGAGAAGAGACGGTCTGTGCCGCCCAGCAGCGGGCGGATGTCAAACTTGGGTTGTGAGGGGTTGTGTGGGGTTGTAAAAGAGGTAGCTGGCTGGCTACATGGGAAGGCTCACCAGGAGAAGGAGTGGATGAGAGCGGAGAAGAGACGGTCCGTGCCGCCCAGCAGCGGGCGGATGTCAAACTTGGGTTGTGAGGGGTTGTGTGGGGTTGTAAAAGAGGTAGCTGGCTAGCTACATGGGAAGGCTCACCAGGAGAAGGAGTGGATGAGAGCGGAGAAGAGACGGTCCGTGCCGCCCAGCAGCGGGCGGATGTCAAACTTGGGTTGTGAGGGGTTGTGTGGGGCTATGTTGCAAAATACGCGTATGGCGTACGGAACGCGTACGAACTATACGGTATCGTACATACGCGATACGCAAATTTCCAGCGTACAAAAAACCTCGAAATACGGTGCGTCGGGCAGGTTGAAATTTTCTAGGGCAGGGAAAAAACATTTCAGTTGAGGTAGAATGCTTATAGGGAAAGAACTTCAGCAATACTTGATGCGGATAACTCCCGTGGGGTTTTCGCCAGTACGAAATTGTTGGCTAGAATCGTCCTAATATTGCGGTTGCTAAGATCTGCAAGTGACGCGACGCCGCTGCTAGCAATAGCAGTAAACTTGGCGTGAGCTTCGCTGTTGTACTCACGCCGACTGGCGAGCAGCTTGTAAGGGAAGGTTGGGTTTGGGAGGTGGTGTGAGGTGATGTGCGGTGAAGGGGAGGGGAGGGGGGCATTCGAGTTTCGAATCTCAAAATTAGGTTTCACAGAATTGCAGATCGCGGAATCAGCGGCAACAAATTTTTTCTCTTTTTTTTTTTTCGCCTGCCCGGATTTACGTATCGCGTATTTGTCCCCGTTTCACGTTTTCACGTTTATACGTGAACGCATATACGTGAAACGTAAAATTTCCTAAGCGTATAGTGCAACGTAGGTGTGGGGTTGTAAAAGAGGTAGCTGGCTGGCTACATGGGAAGGCTCACCAGGAGGAGTGGATGAGAGCGGAGAAGAGACGGTCCGTGCCGCCCAGCAGCGGGCGGATGTCAAACTTGGGTTGTGAGGGGTTGTGTGGGGTTGTAAAAGAGGTAGCTGGCTGGCTACATGGGAAGGCTCACCAGGAGAAGGAGTGGATGAGAGCGGAGAAGAGACGGTCCGTGCCGCCCAGCAGCGGGCGGATGTCAAACTTGGGTTGTGAGGGGTTGTGTGGGGTTGTAAAAGAGGTAGCTGGCTGGCTACATGGGAAGGCTCACCAGGAGAAGGAGTGGATGAGAGCGGAGAAGAGACGGTCCGTGCCGCCCAGCAGCGGGCGGATGTCAAACTTGGGTTGTGAGGGGTTGTGTGGGGTTGTAAAAGAGGTAGCTGGCTGGCTACATGGGAAGGCTCACCAGGAGAAGGAGTGGATGAGAGCGGAGAAGAGACGGTCCGTGCCGCCCAGCAGCGGGCGGATGTCAAACTTGGGTTGTGAGGGGTTGTGTGGGGTTGTAAAAGAGGTAGCTGGCTGGCTACATGGGAAGGCTCACCAGGAGAAGGAGTGGATGAGAGCGGAGAAGAGACGGTCCGTGCCGCCCAGCAGCGGGCGGATGTCAAACTTGGGTTGTGAGGGGTTGTGTGGGGTTGTAAAAGAGGTAGCTGGCTGGCTACATGGGAAGGCTCACCAGGAGAAGGAGTGGATGAGAGCGGATAAGAGACGGTCCGTGCCGCTCAGCAGCGGGCGGATGTCAAACTTGGGTTGTGAGGGGTTGTGTGGGGTTGTAAAAGAGGTAGCTGGCTGGCTACATGGGAAGGCTCACCAGGAGAAGGAGTGAATGAGAGCGGATAAGAGACGGTCCGTGCCGCCCAGCAGCGGGCGGATGTCAAACTTGGGTTGTGAGGGGTTGTGTGGGGTTGTAAAAGAGGTAGCTGGCTGGCTACATGGGAAGGCTCACCAGGAGAAGGAGTGGATGAGAGCGGAGAAGAGACGGTCCGTGCCGCCCAGCAGCGGGCGGATGTCAAACTTGGGTTGTGAGGGGTTGTGTGGGGTTGTAAAAGAGGTAGCTGGCTGGCTACATGGGAAGGCTCACCAGGAGGAGTGGATGAGAGCGGAGAAGAGACGGTCCGTGCCGCCCAGCAGCGGGCGGATGTCAAACTTGGGTTG